AAAGGAAAGAAAAATAAGAAAGTAATTAGACGGATGATGTGGATGGTTTGGTGTCCTATTCAAACAGTGGCCACAGAAAGTCGATACACATGCGGTGCGGTGGCGGAAGCAGCATCTTTAAAACACAAAAGCCTGGCTGTCCGCTAAATTAAAATATAAATTATGAATTATGGCTTTCCGAAACTTTACCGTTTATATTCAAACTGTAATTTTCCTCATCGGATACGTGGGAATTGAGGTGATTTTTATCATGGGTCGGATGGCAAACGCTCCCGCGCTGCTCTGTGTTTATTGCGAATTAATGGAAATTTTCGAGGGTGACTAATTAATATTTTTTTCTCCCTCGCGCGCACGGTTTATCTTGAAAGTTTCGATTATTTTTTCTGCCAAGCAGCAGGTGATATAAAGTACAGTTTTGTGGTGAATCAAAACATTAGCCCTGCTATAATAAGTACATCGCGTCAAGTCTGCGGATTTATCTCAATGCTTATTTGTTCAATGGTGATTTTTCATACCTTGAAAATTTCATTTCTAAACATTTATTTCAGAAAAGTTCGTTTTCGCTTCTCCAAAATCCACTTTGACCACCGTCGGTCTCAATCTATTGAATTAAAGATGAACAATTCCATGAAATACGAAGCTTTGTTTGTGACGACGAGATCTTATTTTGTCTACGAATCGCATTTGGTCACGTTCGCCACACTCCTGCAGCAAAAGGAAAAATATGAGATTGAAATGCTTTGATTAAGCTGTCAGCTCCGTCGGTTGTTACAATGTGCGCGCCTCGCAGACATAATTTCTAATTAAATACCTTGACTCGCAGGTTTTTGGTACGTGGGCTTTTGTGTGTCGTGGAAAATCGGTCGTATTCTTTCTATGCCATGATTAGAAAGAACGGGAGCAAAAGAGAGAGTGGTTGAAAGAACAAAGGAATGTGTTTGTTTTTTTTTCATTTCGAGAAAAGCGGCAATCAGCCAAAGACATCAGCAGCAGACAAATTATAGCAATCAATAATGTTCGGCGAACGAAAATGTCAACATTTACTAATCCATCTTGTGATTGGCGCTTATTCAAACGAGCGTCGAGACGTCGATATCATGATTTATGCGTGTTAGGTAATAACAATCAATTTTCTATTTTTCGTCATATGTCTTATGCTTATGAAATTTGATGGAAACGATTTTTTCCACATCACAAACAAACACGAACGATCATATACTGATATTTTGCTCGGCTGCATGAACGAATTTTTGTTCGTTGTCGAATATATGAAATATTTCACCGGTGAAATATTTTCAATTAGAATCCACGTAATTTGGGCGAATTCAAGGTATAAAGAGAAATGCACGTTTCAATTGAATTTATTGAAATATATCGATTTTGCACTGCCTCCCACACTCACATACATGCGCTCACCACTCGAATTCCACTCAAACTCCTGTGCATCGAAAATTAGCCCAAAATTATGTAAATTAATTTGTTTGTTATTTAACATAAAATATTTTGTGTATCGATGTAGAAATGTTGTTGGCTCTAATCTACCAATTATTAATTACGAATATTTTGAATGAACGGAGAGAGGAAGAGAGAGAGAGAGAGCAAAGAATGGTGTCCATGGCTGAGAATCGATGAATTACAGTCGAATTTCAGAGTATTTCGATTCGTGCTAAGCGTCTTATTTTCGACCAGTCCATTAATACCATTTTATCATTGAAGACATAAATACAGATTACTGGTCGAATAATTGAGTTAAGTGTTTTTGTTACCGAGTTCGGAATTTGACTCTTGTCGTTCCGATTCTTTAGCCGCATTGAACCGATTCAACGAGTGTTTACTTTGAACCAATTGAATTCATTCAATTTAATTAAATTGTGAATATAACCGGAAATATAATGTACTCTACCGCCTGGAAATGTAACAATTTAAACATCAAATAAATTGAGTGAGCTATTTTATGAATTTTCGTTGCGTTAACAGAGTTCGTACATACACACACAATTTTCTGCTAGTTGAATATGCACAAAGTAAATAATTTGCTCATTTAAACAAAACATTGTGAATAAATAAACGGAGAAAAAACACACACGGCCTGGCCAATTCGCTAAATGCAATTTAATTTTAAAATTGCAACAACTCAAATTCAGCGCCAATTTAAATCGAGATGCAAATAAAATGCCATTGAAATATTCTAAATTAAATTATTTCCAAGTAGACAATGGGCCTTTTTCGGTCTTTGTTTTCTTTTTTTTTCTTTTTTGGGTCGAATTGTTTTATTCGACTTTTCTCTCTTTCACTTTTTCTCCTTGGTTCGGTTTTTTTTTTATTGAATAAAAGTTCAATTTTTGCACGAGACCAAAAGAGAGAGAAAAAAAGGACGGTGAAAAAGGCAGATTCACTAGTCCGTAAGAAAAACAAAGGCCTCGTTTTTCAAATCAAGCAGAAGAAAAATTCACTTTATTCTTTCATGGTTCAGAGATTCAGGGAGGCGACGTGGTCGTTTTTTATTCTCGTTGCATTCTCCCAAAAGATTCGAAACAACCGTGCCAACAAGCGAACGCAAAGAATGCTCCGGCAGAAAAAAAAATTGTAGCAAAAATATCAGAGTTGATGCGAAGCAGGAGCGGTAGTCATACATATGGGCGAAATGCAGCAATCAACACAAAAAGAGAGCATCGACCAAAAGCCGAAAGAAAACACAAATATTATTTCAATCTGCATGAATATATTGCGGCCTCACACTCGAAACATCGAATATATTGATTTAGTTTCATTAGGTTCGTTCGTTGCGCCATTGCTGCTGCTGTTGCCGTCGCCATCGTCACTTTTATTTGTTTTGCCGTTGTCGATTGTTCTTTGTTGTTGAATGCCACTCTATTCGATTCGTGCGTTTTTTTTCCTTTTGCTGCTTTTGCTGCTTTGATTCTTTTTTTCGCTGGCTTTAACTGTTCAGTATTCAGTAGTCGGTTGAATTTCGTTTAGCTGCTTGATTTATTCGATTTTCTTGGGTGCTCAATATTTGTGCAAAAGGGCCGAAACAGTGTTTTGGCATTGGGATTTCGGTTCCATTGAATATCAATCCGCGTGCTCTGGCTCATTCTCTCTTCGGTTTGCTTGTGAAATGTGCCGTCGAAATGTAAAGAAGAGTGAATAACAATGTTTGGATTTGATTTGCTGCACGCCGTTTATCGTCGTTTATTCGCACATATGCGTTTTAGCTCTTCAATCTCGAGCAGCCGAGCGGCAGTACAATGGGCGCACATCGAGCGAAACAAAACAAAAAAAAACAGTAAACGATGACTGCCGCTCTCTGTTGTTACACAATATAATACAGGAGCACAGAGCTAACGGCTGTATAATGGATATGTTTGTGATGTAAAGACAGGCGAATCCGAAAGAAAAAAACCATCGAAAAGAGAGAATCAAAAACCTGTCTGTATAGAAAATTCATCGCGCAAAACAAACATGCGATCGAAAGATTTTCATTGAAAAGATATCAGCCGAGAGCAGTCGGCGTACATAAAACACACATTATAAATATATCGAACAGCGCTGATTACCTTTCGATTTCGATTTGGCAAACGCACACACACGCCGAATCGGCAGAGCAAAGCTGAGAGTCGAGGCCGCCAGTCATACTGGTGAATCGATTCCCCAAGCTAAAAGCTCGCACAAAAAATCCAAATGATAACAACGGCATAGCATCACCGAGTGAGCGAGTGAGCGCTCACACTCTCGCCTCCCTCCCGAAACACGCAGAGATTCAATCGGGAAGGATGATGCGTGCTCAAACGGCAAATGTTCTTCTGAACCGAAGGAATGAAAGAATAATCAAATACAATAACATAATATGCGAGAATGTTATCGATTGGATTCCAATTGAATTGTAGTGCATGCTTGACGCTCGCCTCGCACACACATACACACACACACATGCATGCATACACACTTCCGATAGAAAGAGAGGAACGCAATTGTATTAAGGCATTTGCCATTCATCTATGATGTAGTTGAATGGATTTTGATCACCATAAATATTTATAACCACTGATTGTTTTTCGCTTTCTCTTGCTCCCCGTGGCCAAATCAATGGAATGCTTCCTCTGTTTCGCTCTCTTTCTATTTGTCTTCCTCTCTATCTCTCTCTCTCTCTCCTTGGCTGACTGGCCCCGATCGAAATGGATCGCTTTCGGTTTTAACCGATTCGACAGGGACGAACAAAAGGAGAGTAATATCCATCCGTTGAATGCCATAGATAGATATTCATTTAGACAAGAGAGTGGGCAAGAGCGAGAGAGAATAACAAAAAAGCACATTTTTTCACGTAAATAACGCGCAACGATGGAATTTTGATATTGAAGAATACCTCTGCACAGACACACACACACACAGTTGGCCCCATTGAATAACATAAAATGCAAAAATGATAAGCTTTTGTGTGTTCCCCATTATGTTATCGATTGCCATGTCAAGATATTACTCTTCGATGCTCACATAATGGCCGCATCCAAATCGAAATGAAATGAATCGATCATTTTGTTTTGTGAACCACCCAAACAAATGGCCAACCAGCCGAAAAGAAAATCGAATTTCGCCACATCGAACATTGCAACAATTCCATTCGGCAAAACACACTTATTATTTTAATCTGGCGAACCAGCGATACATAAAATCATTTGCGATATACTTTATCGTTATTACACTGCAAATGACCGATTCCATTCGGAAGTCGATGTTTCCGTTCATGAAAAAAGAAAAGAAATCAAGTAATTTGTTGCAGACGAAACCAGCGCTGGAAAAAAATTCGAATCATTTATTTTTGTTCTAGCTAAAAAAAAAAAATAATTTGCTCGGTCGTAATGTATGTGTGGATTTTTTTTTTTTTTTTTGGTTTTCCATTTATTGCAGTGGCGCACACAACCAACCCAACCAGAATAGTATAAGAATCAAATATAAATTAAGCTTAATAATACATTTTCTCCATTTTTCTTTATAATTTACAGGGCAGGCAATAAGCAAGAGCGGACATTTCAAATCGAAACAAATTACACATCGTGTGTTATCGTTACAGCGTTGCTCAATACACCATCTCGGAATATTTTGACGTAAGTTTGGCTATTTCTTATTTCAGCTTCAGTTTCATTCCTTCGATTTTCTCGGGTGGCAGTGTTGTTGTTCTTGCTTTCGTTTTATTTATTATTGCTCAATAGACGTTTATTACTAAATCATAATGTTCACCACAAATCTCTTCGAAATAAGCGGTGGGTCGACTGGAAAACTTGAAATGCGTGAATACACTTATTTTGAAAACAAACCGCCACCATCACCAGCTCTTTCGTCCTTCGAAAAAGTTGGTAATATAAATTGGTGGTCATAAAAAACAAACAGGTAATGAATTCGTTTGACTGTGCTCAAAGCTCGCTTCGATGGATCCACTCTCTGCGTCATGCGCTTGCCCGCATAAAAATGGAATTGTTATAAGCAGCAGCAGCAGCAATCAGAGCGGTTGAAGTGTGTGGCTGAAGGGAAATTATGGCATTTTCAGTTCAACTTTTATCGATCGGCTTGGAATCAAATTCATACACACGCAAAACACCTCTTACTTCTGATGCGCTTAAAATGCCAGAAAATGGCTAGCTGTTGAAATTGATAAAATTATTTCACTTTTCATGTTAGTGAAAAGGGAAAAAAAAAACTTTTTATCGACTTCTTGACGCAGTTGTTTACTGCAAGAAAAACTTTCAATTCCGACGACGGAGCAAAAACTTGGACAACATTTGAATGTGCAATGGCAGAATGGCTGGCAGAATATATAGGAAGAAGAATGGTTTGACAGGAATCGAGAGGGAAGAAAGCACAATTCGCAAAGTGCTTACCATTCAAAAATTCTTGAAACTTGCACCAAACAATATGCTTTTCGCATTGAAAATCAGAGAAGCGATGAATGAAACTCCATCCAAACTTTAATATTGCTCGAGGTGAAATGAAGGACAGTAACACTATTCAAATCAACATGTTTACCATTCAACGCATTTCGCCCGAGCTCTATCCAGTACAAATTCATTCACCATTGTCTGCCAATAAAACGAACTACCTTTTTTCTCTTTCTCTCCCACACTCGCTTCTTTTTGCTCTTACTCCCTCAAAACGTGCGTCTGACTCTCGACGTGGTGCACGGAATTACCTTTGGAGAGAAGATAAAAAAAATGTTTGAATTTCGTTTTCGTGCACAAGCCAACAAATGATTAAAGATATCCAAAGAAGAACGTAGCACACAAAACACACATACACTCTCATTTATCCTCTTCAGTCCCAGTCGATGAATTTTTCATTCGCACATTTGGCCAATTGTTTCTCCAGCTCATGGTGGCGTTGTAGTTCTTTTTTTTTTTAATTTAGCAAATTTCATGGACGAAAAAAAGCAAATAATAAATTGAAAGTATGGCCATAAACATATAACATTCTTCACTGTCCAGGTTTTTGTCGATGTTGTTATTGCTGCTAGTGGTTGCTGTTATTCCAGACAGATTTTTCCCTTTGCGAACATTTTTGGCTGCATCATTTTTTTATGCTGCAGACACACATACACACACACACTTCATGAGTGATAGACACTAAATCAAAATCTACAATGGCATTGTTTACATTTTTCTACACCTGAATGCTTTACGTGCATTTTACATGCATGTCCAGTGCACCATGGCCATTGCCAGCAGATTTGATAGAATGGTATTTATTTTGTGCTGTGCTTTGTTTGACTTGGCTACATCAACGGAGAAAAAATGAGCTCGTCCGAAAAATTGCTCATCTGGAGCAAACTTTTGGAGTGCACAACAGTTGCCACCCCGACATTGAGGCAGATTATTTTATCAAATGTTTACTTTCACTTTTTTAGTTTATTTTGAATTCGATATTTTCTTGTTCGATCGAATCGCAAGCTTTGTTTAAAATCGAAATATTTTTTTTTAAACCAAAACCTTAGTTCTTAGACAATCAAACATGTAATTCAATCCGAAAGCCAATTTTGCACACAAAATATCTCCCATTCATTTGATACCAGGCTCAGTCAAGGGAGTGTCATCCAAACACAACCGAAATACCTGTGCAGTTCTGATCTGTGTGCGCTATTTGGTGAGAAAAGCAACAAAACTGTGTATCGCATTTTCATTTTATTACATTTGGGGTTGAAGTAACCATAGAACGGTGTATTTGCTCAAGTCCGAGCGTTCGGTGTGTGTTCTTTTTCGGTAGCGACAACAACAAAAAACTTGCCAAATCTCCGTTTTATCCACACATTTACCGGGTAAAGAAAATATTTTTTCTGATTCGTTCACGGGCTACACGAAATGGGAAAAAAAACTTTTTAATATTTTTATTTACTTTTTCTGAATTTTCTCTGTTTCTCTCTTCGTCGTCGACCGAATAGAAGAAGAAAAAATAAATGCGAAACTGAACTAATTTGAATACAATGGGCATGAGCAGGAAAAGTAAACAATAAGTTGGTCAAAGTAAGCGTTGTTGGCTTGTATTATTTGGTAACATGGTTTTCATCGTTCATAAAATATGAACCAGAGTTGGCATCTAGTTGTATGATGCGTCAATTTTCCACACTGACCATCGATTTATTTCGTCATTTCAGTGATTTTTATCCACACTTAGACCTGTCAAAAAATGATCCATAAAATTGGTTCGATTGCAGTTTGGCACAAAAAGTCGTTGCTTTTCATGCATAAAAATAAGTTGTTCATATATCATTGGTGCGAGAAAAAAAATGAATTGAAAAATTCGCATAAAGGTAGATGAGATTTATAGGCTCAACTTGGTTAGCACACTAAATAAATAAATGATGGAGATGATGATGTTTTATTTGCACAGGATATGAATTCCATGAACATGATTGCATCACGAAAATAGCCGAAAAAAAGACTTTCCAAATAATGTAACGAACGGAGTAGAGAGTTGAAAAAATGTTTGCGTGGTTGTAACAAACGAAGAATGGGAACGGGAGAGTCTAAACGAGTCCCACTTGAAAATATCGAAGTGGAAAATCGTTCAAGGGGATTTAAATTCATGCGATACTCTTGTTGTGGATTCTCAGAAAAGCGTTTTACACAACAGACGAGCATGTAATGCTTTTCCTGAATTGACGACAAACAATTCTCTTTCGATCTCTCTCTCCTTTTCTCGCCCTCTCTCTGTGTATATATCGAATAATGAACTCGCTTCTATCATTTGAATACGTACACTTGAAATGGTCAACGGAATGAAAAATAACTCAAGAGACAAATCCAAACAAATGAAAATGAATTTAAAATCAACACGCTTCGAGAGAGAGAGAGAGAGAGTGAGATCACGATAACAATGTGCGCGTTACAATGGATTCATGTGCTTGATCCAACAACACACGTTTCAATGGCAATGAAAAGCATCATCGAGCAACTTATTACACATCAGGACGTAGTTTTTTCCACTCTTTCGCTCACTACGAGGATGGAAAAAAGATGAAGGAACGACGTGAGCTCAAAATCCAGCATGAACAACATGCTTTTTGTCTGTGAAGCAAAGCCAAGAGAATGTTTTGACGACAAGAAAGGGAAGAAACAATTAAATACATGCTCATCGCACATGTTTATTCAAAAACATTCTCTCTCACTCTCTCTCTATGTGTGTGTTGGGAACTCATGAATTTCTTTTCACTTATGTGCCAACCGGCCAACACCATCTCGTTGCCAAAATAACCAATATGCTTTTGCGTGTAATATTGCTCCATGCATACATCAACAACAAGCGACTGTGTGTCCGGATCTTATCATGTTTAATAATCTCCGTTCGTTCACTCGTTTCACCATTTTTTTTTTCATTTTCTTCTTTTGACTCTAAGCACTGCTGTCGCATGTATCGTTCGTAACATATTTGCCTGCATGGTATCAAGCACACAAAGCGTTCTCCATCATTTCAGAATTTCAATCTTTCATTTAATTCTGTTTGCCTGCGCTTGGCCATACGAACACACAGAAACTGACTGCACTTATCCTGTTCAGCAGACACTTTATCATATACACTGCCCTGTTCGGCCCGGATCGGCCCGCCTCTATGCCAATGTGCATGTGTAAATTTAAATTAAAGGACTCTCTTGTTGAATATTATGACGATGAAGATTTGCCGATAGATATCATGATAATTATTTTTCGGGCACTCAACTCGCATTTACATATTTATACATCGGTCTTTGAACTCGAATTGTCTCTCTTTCTCTTTCACTGCTTTGTTTCTTTTTTTGCCTTTGTTTCCATCAACTCGGATACTATCACATAACGGACACACTCACTTCGGCTTCATTATTACTGTTGATTTTTCACTCAACTCTCTCCGAATTTTTCTCATCGATTCGATCGCCACTACTTACTGCATAGCAGATTAGCACCAGAATAAATAGAGTGAGAGCGCGGGAAAGAGGGCGGAGTACATGACGGCAATCTTTGACATTCAAACGAGTTGTTTACATTTTACTCGACAAACGAATTCGACGTTGGTCGTCGGTTTTTTTCCACTTTCAATCTCAATATGTCTCCGTCACTAATAAGAACGAGCGTAAACAACTGACGGAGTCTTTTTTTTTTAAAACAAATTCACTTGATTACTGTACAGCATCTCGGTAAGGATGAGGGCTGTTTAATGTCTGATACACAAAACACATTTAATTAATATTTAATGCAATAATGCGCTACAGAAATATTTAATTGAATCAGTTACGATGTGTTTTATTCGCAACATCGTCACCGCACTTTCTTCCGATCCTGTGTCTGAATCCAATGTAAGAGCAAATCGACCCAATCACACCATTTCGTGTTTACTTGTAATTGTAACCAAGTGCAAACAAACCACCGTACATTTTAAGCGCAATAAAAAATAGCTCCGTTTTTTTTTTTTGCTGATGCAAACAGCAAGTCGCCTGATAATAAAAAAAAGAAGATTCACGCAAATTGCGAAAACAAAATCGTGTGCCTTTAAAATTTTATGTGTGTTCTTTTCGGGATTTCTTTTTTATTCCGAGGCTACGACAACGACGACGACTACGATGACGGTGAAAGTGTGGCTTACGTGCTGGAAATTCAATTACACGGTATAAAACTCCGAAAATGATGCACACAAAGAAAGTAACCATTGAAGAAAAAAAAAGGGAGAGAAAAAAAACTAAACATTCACTCATCCACACATAAAATGGCAACATCGTGAAACGAAAAGAGGCATCGTGGAACGAACAACAAAAAAAGAATCCAAGCTAGTAATTTAGCTGGCTGCTTTTTTTCGGAGTTTATTTTCATTTTATGAGACTCTGGAGATGCTCGTTATTCCTCCAAAATTAACAAATTATTTATAAATCACACACATTCTTTAGACCTCTTCTCGCTTGGATGACGGGCGAAAAACCACAAAAATCCACATCCATACACAAACAAATACCCTTTTTGCACTGAGTGTAGAAAAAAGAGAATGGAACAATACTGCGTCATTGGCAAAAATGGTTGTCGCACTTGTTGAAGTGAGCGAAATGGTGTTAAAAGTACGGTCTCACAGCAGTCCCAAAACAAAGATGAAATACAAACTCGGCCAAAGAAAAAAAAAATATACATGATTGTGTTGTTGAAGTCCAATTGTGTGACCATAGCTATAGTAACAATGACGGCACACTAATTTGTGGGCAGCATTACAAGATCCTTCAAAGTAACACGCACTTTTCTTTCGCTCGTGCGATGTTTTTGTTCCTTCTTCTACTTTCTAGTTCGAAAAGTGCGGAGAAAAATGTGAACACCACATTCGTTCGGCTGTGGCACAGAGAGAGAGAGAGAGCGAAAAAAACCACGTTGATTCGAAATGAGAATGTGTTCATGTTTTTTTTGTGCCTCCTCGCTCGAGTCATGCCTTTGGATTTATGTGTTTCTTTTCTTTGGCGACGATTTCCAACGCTTTGCTAAAACATTTTTCATCTACGGCGCTTACATATTATTCGAAACGCACTTGAAAACACCACCATAAAAAAAGCGGAACAAAAGCATCAGCGGCAGCGGCAGAAAACACAGAAAAGCCCTTGGATCTGGTCGTTAGAATTTACATCACCGCGAAATGACAGCAGCCCGTGTGCACTGTGTGTGCTCATTCTATTTCTCATTTGTTCTGTGTTACATTTTTGTTTCAATTGTTTTCGTTTTTTTCTGTTGCTGCCATTTACGATGTTGACTGCCTTTTTTCCTCAAGCTGTCGCAATGGATGCTCCAAGCTCACGACATAGGAACTACTTTTTTTGTCTTCTTCTCCACATTGGCTCATTCCATCTTCGATTCAGAGTTTTTTTCTCTCTCGTGATTGTGTGTATCTTCTTTAGTGCCACAGTTTGTGCATTCGTACAAAGGAATTTTGTATCATTTAGCGGTAAAAGATAATAATGTGCAGCAAAACATGTTCAAAAGAGAGGATGGCAACAAGTTTTCTTCATGAGCTCTCTCTGCATTGCTCTGCTTTTGCCTCGATATGTGCTTTATGTGCTCACCGAGTGTTACGATTCAAATGCCGTTCGTTCTTTCGTTCGTTCTATGCGAGACGAGGATTTCATTATTCCTTTTTGCCTCAACTTTGTTGTTCTTTTGTCTTGTTGTTGCTTAATAACGTTTGATTAAGAGCTAAAGGCACTTTTTTGCCTCCTCCTGTGACTTGGCTGCTGCTGCTGTTGTCGTTTTCGGTGTTCTTTTTAGTGTCTCCTCTTTTTTTTTATACGCTCAAGTGTCTGTTCTTTGAGCAATTTACTTGTCGTTTTTTTTTTCTTCTCGCTCTCAAGCTCCTTGGAGACCTGCACACAAGATTCGCACACGACATACACACACTTGAAGAAATCGAGTGACACAGAAACAACGAGCGAATAAGCGAAGGAGCGAAGCAGAGAGAAAGAGAGAAAGAGAAAATTAACATTCGCTAAATTGGCGGGGTTCAAGTGGCTCATACTCACTGAAAGCCATCTCCATTTCACTCTCTTGTCGCATATACATATATTTACAAAACGAAATAACATTATTAAATGTGCAGTCACATCTGTAATAAGATACTTTATGTCTTTCTTATTCAATATGATATTCACTTAATTTTCTTTTTGAAAAAAAGCGGAATTTACTTTGTTTTCGTGTGGAACGCGCGAGACTCGCGCTACACTCCACTCACGGTGAATGTATAATTTTCGGCATTTTTTCGTCGTTTTCTTTTTCTTCTTCTTTGCGCTGCACAAACTGAATGCCAAATCTCATTTTCCAGCATTTCTACATACGCGCAAGAGTATCAACATTTCGGAATCATGTGAAAAAGCAACATGAAGTGCAAAAGAAAAATGAAAACCGAACATAAAATTTCACATAAACATCGATACCGGAAAATAAGAAGAATATTTTGCATGAATCGTCGTCGTTGTGACATGAGCAACCGAAATGTGTGTTCAAAGGATCTCAAAGAAGAAGAAAACGGGAAAAATAGTAATAAAAATGTACAAATTTAATTTATTTGCTGCAGATATGGAATTCGTATTTTACAACGAAAGCTCAAGTAAATTAAAATGAATGAAATTCAAAGTTTTCAGCGCAAGGGGAGGAAAAATGGAGGGAGAGAGAGAGAGAGAGAGAGAGAGAGAGAGAGAAGAAAAAGCAAATAAAACGACAACGCATTTCGTAGTCAGGATTTCTTTTTCTTTCACATTCAGACTGAATCGTGGCGTGGCAATCGTATGTTTCGAATAAATTATACATAAATGAGAGCATTTTTAATGATAATACTGTTTCTTTTTCTGCTTCGTTTTTTTTTATCGTTCCCTTCTTAGCATTTGTCGCAAATTCGCTCTTTGTCGCATGCAATGTGCAACAAATGAAAAAGCTGTGAATTATTTTCGACATTTTTATGAATATAAATAGAACGTTAACTTGTTTTTCCTTCGTCTTTGAATTCCACCTGATCACTACTACTACGGTGACAAAGTCAATTCTATGAAAAATGCAAAAGTAGCGAATTCACGAAAAAATGTATATATATGTGTTTGGAATATCTCCATTATAACCATTACTGCCACTTTGCATCTTCACTTTAAATGGCATGTTTCATTCGCTGGAGATTACAGGTTCAATGTTCAACATCTGGGTTTCGAATACGATGCATCGACAGCAGAAGAAAAAAAAACACGCTAACTGAATCCATAAAATGTTTTTTGCTCGTAAACGTCGGTATGCGATTGAAAAATCCAACACATTGGAAATGACGCAACAATGATAATGCATTTCAATTTCGCACCGCTCGAGTCGGAAAATTAAATCCTTTTTGATGGCTGTGCCGTTTTCTGCACCAAGGAGAAAGTTGTAAATGAATGCAAAGTACTGACCTACATAGTTGGAATGCTGAAATTAAAGTTGAAAGTGATGTTTTTTTCGGTGTGCGACAAAAATTGGTTATGAATTTTGAGTTTTTTCCGCTCTGTTAACCGCAATCATAGACTCTCTTGAGTTGGAGATGCGAATAGTTGCGAGAAAGTTTTGTGACAGATAAAATCTGGGCCAAGCGAAACAAAAACGATTATTGGTGTAAAACTCTGTGTGTGTGTTTGTGACAAAGTTCCGAAAATTGCTGCGGGAAATAAAAATGTCGGTCGTTTTTTCGGCAACGCAGACGAAAATTTATGATGTTATTAATTGAATCTCATGGTTGTGGTGGCGCATGAGATACTTCCAATAAAATATTGTTCGTCCCGTTGAGTTCGAGCGAAGAGAAGAAACACCAGTCGGTAATTCGCCTTTTTCACTCTTGCTTACGCTCCGCTGCCAGTTCAGCAGCCAGATAGAGACATGAGACACGGAGCGCGGCAGTGTTTGAGAAGCGTGCCGCACCAGGAGATACAGCGAAAAAGCGGCTTTTACGTTGTAAAATAGTCATATCGTTATTTATTTGCGTATAATATATGCATATAAATCATAACGAAATGCCTTTAGACACACCGTTTGCCGATATATATATATCGCATATACGGCAAAGCACAGCCAGAGACTGCCATTGCGAGTGGTACACATTTGGCAGGCGCGGCTCGATTCACTTTCCATACGCGCCATGGTAGAAATGCCACTGCTACCACCATCGCCGCCGTCAATTCCTTCATCTATTTGCACAAGAACAAGAAATAACAATCATAATAAGAAAATAATGATACAGAGAGAGAGAGAGAGAGAGAGAGAGAGAGAGAGTGGGAGCGGGAGAAGCAAATGCTGCGCCCGAACGTGAAAATATTCTTTTTGCTGTCGGAGGAACAGAGAGCGAGTAGAGGAAAAAATAAATGTTGTAAAAAATATAGGTAAAAACATAAATACTTTTCATTGCTCCACCATTCGCTACTAACGACCATTACAACAACGGCGTCAGTACATACAATTCCCATCCAAAGTGTAGCTTTTATACACAGCACATACATACCCACATCGAGTACATAAGGCAATTTTGATCGATATTTTATGCAGTGTGCATTCGATGGAAAATTTCCCATCTTTTCCACACCGAAATTGATTCAAATTTGGTTTCACCCCAGAGCTATACAATGCGAATAAAAAAGAACAAGAATATAAAAATCAACCGCACTTCGACGCAACGAAGAAGAAAAAAAAATGGTAGCAAAGTTGAGAATAAAAATTGAAAAAGTAAATAAATAATCAAATGAACAAATAAAAAAAGACATATATATACATGGAAGAATACTTCCGTTTCGCAAATCGGAATGGTTCCTCTCTCTCTGTGTGTGCGGCACGGAACTCACTCAATGGAGACGATTGACGTCAGATGAATATCGAAGCGAAACCTATTGAATCGAAACATGTATACATTCGATGAACATCGATTTCTTGAGTCTTTATACACAACAATAAGAACAACAGCAGCAGCTGAACGGAGAGAGAAAAAAAACGCCGTTGAAAACAACAAATTGTGCATTCATCCTGTTAAAACGAAAGTTGCGAGACTGTGTCGTTAGAACGGCTTTGGCCACAGCCGCACTCACAGAATGTTTGCATTGTAATGGGAATTACGAGTTCGTTATTTTCTCATTTCTACTGGATTTTTAATGCACACACATACACGAACGGGCGCCAATATGCAAGACAAAACGATAGTGTAATTCAGAGGATTTA